TAGTCTGGACGTACCCTAAGAGTTCTTATAGGCCTAACTCCTGTTTTGGACTCCTTCCAACTGGAAAAATTAAAAGCTTCATTTATGAATTATTTTTCAACTTAATAACCCTAAATAGATAGGAAGTCTACAGTGGAAGATGGGGGAAGAATATGTTTTGGCTTCTAATGCCAATATCTATCCTAGGTCCCTCAACACTCAGTAATGTTTCATGCAACTTGGAAGATCTCAATTTCACAAGCATGGATATAAATTCTATACCTGTTTTAGAAGCAATAATTTATTATGGTTTACTGCATGGGCACAAGTTCCGTGGAACTTTACTGTGTATGGAACTTTAAGGATACCATAGGATTGTGAGGCGTTTCTACTGTATAAATCTACACAGATGCTTTGCTGAGCATATGGTATTAATTCCCATAATGTCTTCTTTCTACTTTTCTTTAACTCTTGACTTTATAAAAACATCGCCTAGACTCTCAAATAGAGGACAATACTGTATGTGCTCAGTAAAGCCCCAGTCTGTGATGTTTGGCATAAAGGCCTTAAGATACTTTTTCTTCCCTTTGTGGAGGTTTCAGCCAGAATTTATTTACTTTTATTTTCTACACAAACCATTTCAACACAGCCTAACATCTTAGACATTAAAGTAATAAATCTTCTCATTCTACTCTTTTTCCTGTGTGTTTCTAGTTCTAAACTCTCTCTACCTAGTTGTACTGTATTCTTTTGCAGACTTGCAGGGGTGGGTAATGACAGGAAAAGAGAAGGCTTTGTTCTTTACATTGTGTGAGTGCATGCACCACAACCTGCAATATCCCCAGGTGTTCCCGCTATTCCAGTCACATAATAGATGGAGAGAGACACCCTGCTAATCATGCCATATTGCAAGGTCATTCTGTAAAGTGAATAAATATCCTCTAGGGTTTTAGACCATCACTGAACTCATTTTCATTGGTAAACCAAAAGTAAACACAAGTGAAAAGCTAGTACATGAATCCATTAAGCCAACTAGCTCGATGAACAGTTTCTATATATTTTTATTTTTGATTTTTTTTAAAATCCAGTTTCAACTATATTGGCCATTCCCAAATCCTTTTTATTCTCCCTGCTATGCAGTACAACTGGTTTCATTACATTATTATTTCACTGAGAGGTAAACTGCATGAGCTAAAATGTTAATAGATGCAATTGTACATTTTAAAAACAAACACCAGAAATTTGATGCTGAAATATTTGCAAAGCTGCGCCTAGTGAATTTATAGGGAAAGAACTATTCCCTTGATGTAAGCAGTGACAAACAGCTGACACCTTCATTGCTCACCATCAATCTATTTCAACCAGAAGGAACTTGTCACTTCCAAACATGCAAATGCAGTAGACATTTATCATGGAAAAACCACTGGTACAACCTACACAACTGATCCTAAACTGGAAAGCAGGACAACATTATTTCTTTAGGGATCACAATGGGCAAAATTCACTCTGATTTTCAGATGGCAGATCTCACTTTTTTGAGTTTTCTAAGCTGAATTTATTTGCATGCTCTCACTGAAGTCCCCGGCATTCCATTTGGATAAGATCACGCCTTCAGGAAAAGGGGGGTGGAGGAGCGATAAAAATTAACCCTTGCCCTGATTATCTGACATTTAATAAGATGGCTTGAGACAACAACATCAATTAACCCCCGAGGGAAAGCCAGGTAAAAACCAGATCACACTGAAAATCAGAGATAGAATTTGAACTGCAGTTGCCCTGGTAATTAAATTACAAAAGATTCCTTCATAAGAGTCACACCGCTGAATCTCTATTGGTTAGCCCTCCCTGATCACTGGAAATGCAACAAGAGGGCTCCTTTCTGTATAAATGCATGTGTGTTTTTAGTGAGGGGACTGGAGAGAAGCAGGTCAGTGCTTAATTTTATAAGACATTAGATGGAAATGTGGGTGTGCAGAAATTCAAAATGCTCCCACAGGGAAAAAGGGGCTTCTAATAAAAATGCTGAGAGATTTATCAAATGTAGCCAAAAATAGAATATTTACTATTCACAGACAGGAGAAAATATTCTGGAGTTGGGTAATCAATAGCACAGTTTTGCTTCTGAGGGACTGGGTGTTAAATTTTTACTTCTACGTGCTTGTGTGGTAATTCTCTCTCCCATATCACTTCCAGGATCCCTCCCCAACATTAGACTCTTACAATAATCTAAATACCTCAGTATGAGGTACGAAGATGGACACGGATCACTGCAGTCCTGTCTCTACAATCTGGTATTTTAAACCGCTGCAATTCTATACTCATTCATGGTATCAGAAGCCTCACAATATGAATTACACAAGAATCTGTGAAAACATAGGTATGGATTTTGATTTGAGGAAAATGTAGGTGGAGATTTTCAAAACTGCCTGTGGAATTTAGAAGCATAATCCACACTGAAATTGATGCAAGTTGTGCATTTAAATCCTCATCGGGACTGGGACAGTTTTTTGGTTCCGGGTTTGTACGATGCCTTGCACAATGGGGTCCAGCTCCATGAATGGAGCTCCTATACACTACACCAAAACAAAGAATAAATCACCATCCCCAGCTCCCCAGGCAGCTTGTCCAATCTCACCCCCAATTCATGACATGGTAGTCATGTCCCCCTCTCCCATCCACCCCTTTTTAAAAGGACGGTAGTGCTAACAGACCACCCAAATTATTACAAGCCAATGGGATGACACAATGTTTATATCAATCTGATGAAGGCACATCAAGATGATGGTAGATGATATTAGTACCTATATACTTGGCTTTTTACAAATCAAATCAGATTTGCAAATTGATAGCCAACAGAAATTGGTATTTCCACTCAGTGCCTGGAATACTTATCTATGCAGAGTGGTATCCCCCTACCCTTGCTATTCTGATTTACCACATCTAGTGTGAATTATCCTCTAGCTGCTACCTACAGTAGCACACTTTCCTTCCCTCCCACCTCTAGTCCAACATCCTCAGTAGTAAATAGGAAATGAGCCCACATACAGGAAGTTTAATATGTAATTAGTTAATGTTTGCACTTTGAAAGCATAAATTGCTATATATAAGTGTTAAGCACTATCTCAGAAACCAACAACGCTTAAAAAAAGGACTTCACTTCCCCACAGAAGATTGACTGATCTACAATAAACAGGAGAGTTATCTTTGGCGAACTGAAACCTACTGAATAGCAGTAAATAGATTTTAGGTGTGCCTGGACTTCTATGCCATGAAATATAAACATACAGGCGAGACTCATCTTACGCTAGGGTTACGTTCCGCTGTCAGTGCATAAAGCGAAAATCGCGTATAGTCAAAATTACATTGAGTGTAATGGCGGGCGGAATCGCCCGCACTACAGGTACAGTATTTAAATTGTTAGTTTTCTCGGTTTTTGTTTGTTTGTTTTTTGTTTTTGCCGACCGCGCAAAGCTGAATTCGCGCATGTTAAATGCGCGTAAGATGAGACTCGCCTGTATACTAAAATACACTCTGAATACAGATATTATTTCGAAGCAACATGCACCTACCTTGTAACAGCATAAACTACGGTTTAAACCAAGGAAAGAGAAGTTCTGAGCATTTCTTTTGCTTACCATGAAGGCAGGTCTCTCACGAAGGGGGAAAAGGCACAGGGCAGATGAAGAAAGTTCATCTTAAAACCTAAAATCAAAGTCGCCTACAATCCTGTCATGTGGCCTTATATTTCTGAGTCAGAAATAAGACTGCAAAAGTACCTTCAACACAGTGACTCACAAAAGTAAACATCTTTCAATGCCTATCATGCAGCAAAAGCCTACTGAGAGGAGGTGGAAACTTCAGAAAGGTATATTGCAGGGGTCAGCAGCCTTTCAGAAGTGGTGTGCCGAGTCTTCATTTATTCACTCAAATTTAAGGTTTCGCGTGCCAGTCATACATTTTAACGTTTTTAGAAGGTCTCTTTCTATAAGTCTATAATATATAACTAAACTATTGTTGCATGTAAAGTAAATAAGGTTTTTAAAATGTTTAAGAAGCTTCACTTAAAATTAAATTAAAATGCAGAGCCCCCCTGGACTGGTGGCCAGGTCCCGGGCAGTGTGAGTGCCACTGAAAATCAGCTCGCGTGCCGCCTTCGGCACGCGTGCCATAGGTTGCCTACCCCGGTATACTGCAAAGCCAGGCATCTTGTTGAACAAAGGGAAAGAGTATATGTACAAACAGGCACTGGCCTTTGTTTTTGGCGGTGGGTGCTCTTCTCCGCCCCCTTTCCCCCCGCCCACGTGCAAGCAGTGGGAGGGGTCTCAGGGGGAAGAGGCTGGATGGGGCGGGGCCTCTGGGGGAGGAGGCTGAGCAGGGGTGGGGCCCACAACAGATTAATCCGGCCCCGTGGGTGCTGAACACTCCCTATTTTTTTTTCGGTGTGTGCTTGAACCCTGGAGCACCCATGGAGTTGGCGCCTATTCATGTACACAGTGTACATACTGTACCAACATGGTTGCTTCAGATTATCCTCCTGCAATTAGCGTGTTTTGGTATAGAAGAGGCTAGCAAATGTTTTTAAAGGAAAGAATACACAGAATTAAGATCCTTACAGTATTTACACTAATTAATGTAACCCAGTGCCTTAAGCTACAATGGTACATACTGTAGTTTCGCTCAATCTTCTCTCCACCACCAGAGCCTGTTACAGATTCCTCAGTTAGACCTTGGACCTTATTTATAAGATGCACTCGCTTAGCTTTAACAGTGCCCTTACAAGGTTTCAGACTCGGTCCTTACTCAGACAACTCCCAATGACTTCAGTGGCTGCTTTGCCTGAATAAGGATCACAGGATTGGATTCAACTATTCTTTGACGACAAATTCACATTCCCTTTTTTTTATCACTGTATTTTGCCATCTGATAATGTAAATGAAATTTATTTATGATGCCTCTCTGCATCAGAAGAGTTGTGGAAAGTTACAGGGTGATGCTGTAGTGGGGAACGGCACTCACCTCCTGAAAAAGTGTAGACATTTCACAGACCAGACATGAGCTGGGGCTTTGCATTTCACATTTGTGCCTGTCGGAGAGGAAGAAATCTCGCAGTAGTGGAGTGTGGGTAAGTGCCTGGACAATACAGTTCATAAAACATGTGTTCCCAAGATTGATTAGCCCTCGTAGACCTATAAAGAGAGAAAGGGAAGGGGAAGTACAAGTACTGCTGAGTTAAAAACAAAACTGAACTGAGCATTTCAGTCATTTGCATCTTTTGATATATTCAAAATGTTGCCCCCCAACGTCTTAGAAGATTTTATATCCTGTAAGAATTTATGACCAATTCAGCCACCAGTAAACTAGAAAGTGCTACAAGTTTACAACTTTTTTTTTGCAATGCGGGTTTTGTGGGGCTAGGGAGGAACCCCAAAAACAAAAAACTGAATTGCCACTTGTGTTACTGATCAAAGAAGCTAATGGTTAAAGAGTATGGTAACAGGCATGCTCCAGACACCTAGAAAGACACATTTTGTCAACATGCCATAATGTTGATCAACTGAAGCAAATAAAAATATTCATAGCTTAACACAAAAGATTTTCTTCATGTAGGGCACTAGGCCAAAAGATGCTTCTGTAATTTTATTATGTACCATTTTATCTTTCAGACAAGAAAATTGTTATTGCAACACATCGTAGATCACGAGAAGGGGGTTGTTTTTCCTACCCTGCTGTGCAGATGAGGAGATGGTGCTGATGGTGGCAGACTGTACCCAGGACATTAGGCCAGTTTATAACAGCGCTGATTTTACAGAGGTTGGCTGTCTGAACACAGCACCTTTAAATTAAGTAAAAGATTCTAAGGATGTTGCTACCTAGCTCAGCTCAACTAAAAAACAAGCGAACATTAATTAACAGCACAGAGATCTGGGTTCAACCCCACAGAAGCCAAATGCGGGTATGCCCTATAATGCCCGGAGATAATATCTTGTGCGTGAAAGCCAAGATGCTTAAAGAAAACACCCTTTGTTGCACACCACGAAGAGGCCACAAATGGGGAACACTTTTCAGTTGTTTGCAAAGCTCATTTGAGAAGAAAATCATGCTCAGCTCCTTGTGTTTGTCCCCAAGATTCTGACACAACCACCTCTATGAAGTAGCTGTGAGCCAGAAAGAAAAGCATCATGAGGACGAACATGATTATTTTAAATATACAATGATCCTCAAAGACACTACCACAAAACAAGAGAAAATGCACTGGTAGATTCCTCCACACTTCTGATATTAGTGACAGGTAAAATGAACGCATTTCCTCTTGTGCAATACAAAGGGAGCTGTTGGAGGCACTGCAAACCCGAGAAGAAATGATCTGCCAGAACTGGAGAATTTTCCTGCCATTCCATGAAAAGACACCAGATGGCAATGCGGAGGTGATTAAAAATGCTGCAGTTCTCTTGCAATACACCAGATAGTGCTCAAAAAGCCTTTTAGCTTCCTTCACCAGGAGGGGCGTGTGGTCCCGTTGCTAGGTTACTGTAGACATTACTGTGTTGAACTGCATATTGAATTTAGGTGATGGATACACAGCTCTCCTAAATCATCCCTCCAGCATGCAATATGACACTGCCCTGCCCCTCCAGCATCCTGTTGCTTCTGTTTATTCTGTAGTGCAGCGCATAAAGTTTTCCATTTACATTACAGTAATTTCTGTTGGCCAGGAAGCACACTGTAATCATTTGTTTTATTATCACGCTGGGAGGCAGAGCAGCTGAATGAGCCACATTAGCAACTTGTTAAATAGTTAATTTGTCGTAGCACACTGAAGTATAGTATGATGCTGCAGACAGCTTAACAATCCTCTGACTGTCTCTGTGCATCATGTCGAGATACAGAGATATTCATGCTGGGGTAAAAGTCATTGTCTTTGATCAACAGTGCTTTCTTAGCCCCTCCTGTTATCACTAGATTAGAACTAACTGTATTTGCTGTGCAATGACTGAGGCCTTGGGAAATCCCTGGCAGGGGATATCTAGCACTTGTCTGTCTGAGCAGCAGTGCTTGTCTAAGCATGAGAAAGTCGCTTTCCATTTTCCCTTGCAAACATTAGCCCCTATAATTAGTGACAGAATTGAAACTAAGTCTGTGCTGTACAGAAGCCTGTGACGGGATCCCCGGAGCCTCTCTCTATTTAGTAGAAAAAATGGTATTGCACATAGGTATTTATATCCTATTACTTTTGTTTTTGGTGTCTGATTTAGTGCTTCCAAATAAAGATAAACAGTATAGACAGCTTTTTTGAATTCATTTATTGAGCACTGTATATTACATGCCTCTGGCTGAACCTTGCTTTGCTATGATCACAGGCAGCACCTTCTTCAAGATGGTCACCAGAAGACAAGCTGCAGATTTCCCTATTTAGAAGGCTGGCTTGGTTACTCTCTACGTGGTTGCACAAATTCTTTTGATGTCAGTTTTGCATGCGTCCGAATGTGGTGCTTCATATGGAGCCATAATAGCTTGACTGAGTTGAGATATGACGACCTGTAACACACAGAGATAGTGCTGAAATTTAGATACCCCTGACCCTAATGACCACTCTGCAAATGGAGCTTTGTAGAAAAAGATGTGGACTTACTTGGCTGGGGTGCACTCTCAGTGTAGCCCTCAGGCAGCAATGAATGCAGCAGCCACAATATGATTTGAGTTGTTTTCTGAAAAGAAATAGTACAGTACATTGAATGAGAGGTAAGATACTGCACCACAGCTCAATGTTCTCCTGTAATGATTACAGCATCCTTACCTTGGAAAAACACTGTCAAATTTTATGTACATAGGGTCAACTGTGGCTGAGACTTGGTTCAAAATACTCCTGTTTGTAATTCCTGAAAAAGAAAAAATGATGTTGAAGATGTAACAGGTAGTGTAAAATGAAAGACTGTCTTAGGGCAGAGATGCCTTATGCTGTACCTGGGCCATAAAAATCATAGAGGGGCCTCTGCCTCTCCTTATAATCTGTCCCAAGAAGTTTAGTGACTTGTTTTGTGATGTCTAAGCTGACTAAAATACATGGCAATATGTTTAGCATGCTTCATATCATTAGAAGAAGAATAAATCCAGAAACCTCTACTGCATTGTCCCTTCTTGCTTGGGGCAACCATTCTTCTTCATCAGTATCTGACCATAGGACAGTGCCTGTAGGGAGGAGTGGATACATTTGTTAAGACTGCCCATGGCATTCAACTTTGAGCTAACATAACTGGCTGCTGTGTTGTGCAGACTCTTTGCTGTATTTTACAGTACCTTAGCTTTCTATGTTTCCATTCATGCTTGCAATGCACTGTCTCTGGAGTGGACTTGAGAAATGCAGACATTGAAGATGTACAATACATATTATAGGCACAGACCTGTGTGTTCTGGGTTGTGAGCTCATTCTGTATAATGGTATTGATTTCCTTTTTAATCTTACTGTCGGAGAAAGGAAGAATTGGAAATGAATGAATACCATCACTGTGAAACAGGCATACCGTAATGCATGGTACAAATGCGAACACAGGAAAAAAAATTGTGTGGCCACTCTTCAGCACCCTACATCATGTGTCTCTTTTTAGTGGTCCATTACATAATGGACAGGCAGGGTATGAATGAAGCTAGATCTTCAACACTTTGAGCATGGATTGTGCATCTGAGAAATGTATATATCCCTTTTTCCTAAGTTCTCAAAATTGGGTGCTAACCACTTGCTTTACCTTAGTAATCTGTAGTTCTTCACTCTTCTTCCATCAACATATTTTTAAAAAATTGCTTGTTGTAGAGAGACCTACAATATTGTGTTACTGTATACTTAGCAAGAACACGTGGAGAATCAGAACACTGGTTGTTCATGCCCACACATACAGGTAACCTAAAACAGCAAGGGTTTCACTACTGGGAGATCAGCAACTGTGCAGACTAGCATTGGATTGATAGCATTTGAAAGGAGGACCACAGCCAAAGCAATGCTATGAATCCACAAGCATTGCGCGCATCCAGTCAAGTCTTTAACATGCTTTCTGGTTAAGGCATAAATTGTGACCATCGTTGTTGATACCAGTTTCTGGGCAGATATGTTAAGGCCAGAGGACAGGCCATCCTGACAAGAGGTACCATGTTGAAACCCAGAAGCAGCTCAAATTGGAGAGTCTGAAAGTATGACGTTTAAGTACAGGTCCCTGTGCGGTTACACTAGCATGAATAACTTAGTTCTCTGCCTGGCATTAGTGGCTTCTTGAAGCTCTTTCAAACAACTCTGGAAGCCAATACAAGTAGAGAAAGTACCTGCAGAAATGCTCGAGAAAGTGATCCAAAAGGTCATCCCTGAAAATAAACAGGAGGACTTGGCAATGAAAGTTTCCAGAAAACATAATTGGCCACCCAAGATGGGCCTTCCAGACTACATCCATGCAATGAAAAGTGCAATATCATTACAGTACATCTTCCTGAAGCTCCATTTCAGAGACACACGGCCCTACTACTTAGTAGCAAAGAACTCACAGGCTATCCTCTGCCACTCCCACCTCTTCCCCACACTGTTTGTTTCAGGTGCAGACGATACATTACCAGACCAGATAAGCGATCATGGACCTCAACCAGGCTTGAACGGAAGTGGAGGCTGACACACCTGTTACTATGTCCCACCATGCCAGCAGACATGTTATCTGTGCTAATGGTGGTTGATGTGATTAATGAGATAAAATCATTTTCATAGATTCTGAAGAGGGAGTCAGTACACCAGGGCTCTCTGTTGGGGCATGCTACAGAAACTAGAAATTCACAGAGAAAACACTGAATGACTGGCATGTAAGCCTACACAGGAAAGAGCATGACCTTTTGTGAAATTAGTGGTCACTTTGGCTGTCAAAACCTAACCACCAACATGCATTTTTGATTAATTCTGATGCTTCTAAAATGTTGTCTGGAGGCTTCCACTTCTTCATTGTTTAGGCTGGTGTGTTCCTTTTGAGAGGGCCGACTGTGGTTGTAGGTACTTACAATACCCCAATCAGAACAGTAGTACCTGAGCACCTCCTAAGTTTTTTTTTTTTTTTTTAAATTTACTGTACCCTCTCAAGACCCCTGTGAGGTAGGGAGGGTTATTATCCCCTTGTGCAAAATGGCATACAGGTCCAAATCACACAAGAAGTCTGTGGCAAAG